AAAGATGTTAGCGGTGACGTCGTTACAAGAGTTTAAGTGGGAAGCGTTGGTGTTCGTGGATCGATGCTAGCAGCCGCCACGGTGGCTCCATGCAGGGGTCCATCTGAGCCCAATATACTGTCTTCAGAAGAGGCTGGACCTGGCTGATTCCCAGGGACATTAATGGAGTTGCCTTCCCAGAAGGGAAGTTTCCTCCTGACCCCTATCAGTCCGAGCCTGACAGATGCCCTGAAGCATGAGGGTTCAGCTGTCCTCCAGACTCTTCCATAGGCTTTTTAAACCCTACCCTTGCAGCGTCTGCAACCGATGCTGCGGCATGAGCGCCTCCGTAGGCCACGGAACAGACGCGGGCAGTGAAATTGCTTCGGCCAGCGTCCATTTGATCTGCTTTCCTGACCCAAAATGGGTGACGATAGACGCTACCCGCAGTGTCAACACTGACAAATCAACAATCGATGTTGAAAATAGGGGTTGTTTTTGCCACTGTGGTTAGGAGCTGGGGCGGAGGGAAAGGAAGTGAGAATACAGATCTGCCTCAGGCCTAGATGTCTTTGTCAGCGATGGGGATCGTAGGGGGGGTCCTCCCCTGGGGTGAGGGATTCCTTACACACCATCCATGGAGAGATATCCCAAATTGGCTGCTGCTCCAAAGGCCTTGTGTTGCCAGGAATGCAAACCCCCCTCCCCCCTGTAGTCAAAGGCTGAGTTTTAGCCATGGTTCCCCGTCCCATGGCAAAGAGGGGAGGGATCGTACAGCTGCTGTAAGGAGGGGAGTCATGCCTTTTGCAAGGAGGGAGAGATGGCAGGGGCTGAGCTGCTTGTTAGAAGGTTTCCCTGTTTTCCTGTCTCCAGGGCTTTCCCAGTCCTGGGGCACCCCACTGAGTTGGCTGTGTGACTCAGAGGCTGCTGGTCTGGGCTTTGTGGGGGGGGACCTTGAGCAAGTCCGGTTGGCTGTGCCTCAGTTTCCCCACCCGACCGTCATTTGTCTACCCGGCTTGTGCGCTGTTTGGGGCAGGGACTGCTTCTTGCAGCATCCGCATAGCTCCTGGCATGGCAGCCCCCAAGCTGATCTCGCGCTTTATGCTGTGTTC